TGCGACTCATAGCCTGCGAATGTGACAAAGCTAAACAAGAAAAACAGCACAGAACAATCATCCGTGCACTCGCCTCCCTCGCTAATCATCGCGATATCTTCGAATCAAGTAGTTGCCATAGTTAGCACTCCTTAGACGTGAGAATTGTCCTATTCGAAACGCTGACGATACCAGCCCCAGGGAGGGACCTTGCCGTTTGCAACGGCAAGCTTCGATAAGTCAGTGGTTCATTGACTCCGGCTAAGCCTCCCTATACCCACGGTTTCACCACACTAGCAACTCTCTCACCCGCTGTGTGCATACTATAAGCCTCCATTATACGCCCCGTGTCATACATTAAGCCTCGTCTATACCCACTGTGTGCGTACAGAAGCCTCCCATATACCCGCTGTGTTCATACATGAAGCCTCGCAATACCTCACGCCGCTGCCGCTACATAACCGGTCATAACCTCTCTAGACCACTGTGAGTGTGAGTTTAACATGGACCCATGCAACCTAAGGTCATGACTGGGTCTGCGTATATCCATGGCGGCATCAAGCACATGGGGCATATATCGCGAGTTTTACAGCCAGGACAGCCAACTCGCAATTCCTTTGTAGCAACATATTCGAATGGTTTTCTAAAACATTTCTCTCTCTTCGATCTTTAATTCCCCTAATAAATCGCTAAACCTGAAAATGCACGTAATGGGTAAATTTGAAGAAATCTTCAGCGTTGAAGCTCAAACGACCATGGACTACATACGTGCACATTTATCATTTTATGAGCTCTTGTGGAAACCAATACCTGGGGGTGTGTGTTCTCCCAACCACCTGGCACGAGTCACTGCTAACCCAGTAAGCTAACCCGAGTTAACACTTAACCGGAGGTGTAAGAAAGCACGCCAGTGGCGTCTACACGGAGTTTTGTCTAACCCGAGTTAAGCTAACGGAGCTAGCGGAGGCGGGGTTGACTGCGTATCCAACCCGCCTCATCCGCGGGGTAAGCTAAGCCGCGATACGAGTTAGACCTCGTATAGACGCTTAACCCCGAACAAGATTTCTTCATCATAGTAACGATGCGGATTATGTAGCTACCA